TTCAGCATACAACGGAAGTTTTTGTACTAGTTCAGCAAGACATAATGACCTAATGCCAGAAGCTTTGGAAATGAGGAATTAAAATTGAGCAAGTAGGTGAATCTGGGACAAGAAAATGTGTATTTCAAACATGAATAAGATTTTATAGACAGAATCACTGAGAGAACTTAAGATGAAACAGCAGAAAGAGAAGTGTCATAGTCTGGAAGGAAGATAGTAAGGTCAGTTTGGGTTAGATGTGGAAGGTATCCAGAAAATCTCTATAAGGTGCTCAGCATGTGGAACTCAATAGTAGAGACTGGGAACAGAAAGAAAAAAAAAAAACTGAAGATCATTCATTTGTACATGGAAACTGAAGCCACAATAATGAATGAGATTATTGAAATAATGCATGTAGAGATGAGAAGGTTAAAGACTGGTTTCCTTACACAAAATTTGTTCTTTCAATGTATAGTTCCTCTCAAATCTCTTCTTCCTGCAGTTGCAAGAATGATCAAAGGTGTAATCCCAACCATTTCAACCCCTAATCCATTACCTGTAAAAGTAAAGTTTAAACTTTAAAATTTTGCATTCAGATTCATGAATCCCTCTCTGGCTTCCCTTTTATTACTTTCTCCTCCACACTTTTCACATTCCAGTAACATCAAATATTTGAGATGTCCCTCCCTGTTCACTTTGTATTTTTTAAAATTCTTCTTAAGATCTTATTTGCTCTCACTGTGCTATTAACAGGCAGTTCTATTCAGTTCACATATCACTTCTTGTTGGAATTCTCTCCTGCCCTCCCAACTACCACACTGGATTAGAATACTCCCTAATCCAACATGGTGAAGTGACCATGATTACTATTATGGTTTGAATATGAGGTATACCCCCAAAAGTTCATGTGGCAATACAAGAATGTTCAAAGGTGAAATAATTATAGATTATGAGAGCTATAACCTAATGGGTAGATTAATCCCTTTGATGGATTAATAATTTGAATGAATTACTGGTTGGTAACTGAAGGCACATAGGGCATGACTAGAGGAGGTAGGTCATTGGGGACATAACTTTGGGAGTTATATTTTGTTTCTGGCTCTTTTTTCTGCTTCCTGACTTCCATGAGCTGAGAATCTTTCCTCCACCATGTTCTTCCACGGTGATGTTTTGCCTCAGTTCAGGGCCAGATAATGGGAGTCAGCTGATCATGAACTGAGACCAAAATAAACTTTTCCTCCTCTAAGTTTTCTTTTCAGGTATTTTGGTCACAGCAATATAAAGCTAAGTAACACACTTACTGTACTACAGAACAATTATGCATTTATGTGTCTACCACAACCTCAGAACATCTTGCTGAGGAAAAAGGGTTCTCCTTGTCAATACTAATCCACACTACCTGTTTTGTCAATTAAAATAAAATTTTTAAAATCCTGTCTTGAATAAACTTACTTTTTGCTGGCAGGCAAGCTATTAAAAAAAAAAAAGATAACTCCATAATTAAGTAAATCACATAGTACCTTAGGTGACACATGATATGGGCACAAAGTAAGAGAGGAATTTGGAGGAAATAAGGAGATATATTGTTAAAAGCTTTCAAGATATTTAAAAGTTAAGGGAAAAGAAAAAAGAATCCTGAAGAAAGGAATAAAAGCTATTGGTTGTGACAAGAGAAATATACCTACCTCTCCCTTACAAAGGGGAAGGCATTTAGGGGCAGAAAACCCAGGCCCACTACCAACTGTGAAATTCATCTTTCTGGACAACACAAATTTTTTTAAATGCAGAGAATTTTGGGACATAATCACCAGCTTAGCAGGCAAGTAGATAATACTGTTTTGTGTTAACTCAAATTTTATCTTTTTTAATTGAAAGAAATCCACATTCAAAAGTGCACACATTTGTTAACCTTGCTTTTCTTTTCCAGGGCTCAGGTAACTAGGCAGCAAGGAAGCCATGACTCTTTAATTAAAAGCATCAGAAATTGATATGCTATTAGCACTTTGGTTGATCGTAACATCTGATAAGGTTTGGCTTTACAAGCAATTTGATATTTTGCATGTTTATGTATGAGTTTCAGCTTCCAAGTAACTCATAAATTAATATTTAACGAAATCATTTGCCTGGAGATTTTCTGTGCATTCCCATTAATCAAAATTCTTTAAATTTGATGTTGTACTGCACACTCCAAAGTAAATGATAGTTATCAGAACTATTTTTTTCATATACATTTCTATCCCATACGTACCTGAACACAAGGAGGTGTATTTCCCTATAATTGTCCACTGGAAGTCATCTTTCTCCAGCCCAAGTGAAATCTCTTTACATCATACCCTTTAATTACTTACTTGCACTGCAATTAATAAACTTGTGGAAATCCCACTAGGTTGAAACCACTTTGATCAATGCTACTTTCAGAAGGCAAAAAATGGGCCACCAAATTATTTTAACATAAAAGAAAAAAAAATTAGCCATTTTTGTAGTTTGTGTCTCCGGTGTCCCCCTAGTCACATGTGGCTTAGTCTCCAGCTTGCATGGTTTTTGAGAGTTGGTAAAGTTTGGAAGGTGGAGCCTAGAGAAAGAAGATGGGTCATTTGGGTGTGCTCTTGAAAGGTATATTGGGACCCCAGCTTGTTCTCTCTTTGCTTCTCAGCAGCCATGAAATGAGCAGCTTTGCACCCCACCATGTTCTGACTTACCAAAAACTCAAAAGGAACAGAGCCAGCTGACCATTGACTGAAACTTGAAAAACCAAGCCAAAATAAACCTTTCCTCATTTTCCTTCAATTATTTTGTAACAGCAAAGGAAAGCTAATAGTCATTTTTCTTGGAAATGTGACCTCGAAACAAGCATGGAATATGTCTAAAACAAGCATTTTAAAGATTATTCTTAAGAACAATGTAAGCAGTTTAATTGTGGAAATCACAATTACCTATAGGATAAATTAATGTTTACACAATCGGTAATTTGAAGCATGAGACTTCTTATAATTTACAGATAAAATATTACTATCTTTCAAAAAACACTTGCTTCAAATAAACTTAAGACAACAAGCTGACAGCCTTTGGAAAACTGGTATGGGCAAAATGTCAAGGAAAAATGTAAATATAGTGAATAAAAACCACAAGCAGAAAAAGGTATTTATTTCATATAGTTAAAATATACAATTTCCCTCATCTCTAAACTGAGAGCTACAGATTCAAATATAAACAAACTGATTTTTTTTTAATTAACCTATAGCATACTGGAGGCAACATCTAGCATTACCACTTTTTAAATTAAAAAAAAGTGACAAAACTACAGAAATCACTCTAGACCAGATTCTACACATTATTACTGACATTTAAGGCTGAGTAATTCCTTGGTGAGAACTGTCCTGTGCACCATAGCAACACTCTTTTCCTTTTCCTAATAGACACCAGTAATATCCCTTTTCTCCCCAAGTTCCAACAAACAAAAATTTCTCCAGATGTTGTCAAATGTCCAGTGAGGGCATAAAATCACTCTAGCTGAGAAGTACTACAGGAGACACGTGCTGTCAAACATCTTGAAGTAGCTTCCATGTATTTTTTTCATGTTCTATTTTAATTAACTGAAATCTACTTGAGAAAGCAGTTACAATTATCCCTATATTTCTCCACTAAATGTGAAAAAAAATTAGTATGTATAGCTGCTAACAAAGATTAACATGGTAAATACACATGAAAATAAAGAGTTCCTAGAATCAAACCCCAAAAGATACAGCTAGTGAAATAAATTTTCATCAGATTGGAAACAGATATCCTGTATTCTGAATTTTTCATTTTACTCAGGCTTTCCTTCCCTAAACCAAAAAGGTATTTTGTTGTTCCCAAAACAGCAACTTAAATTACTAGTACTAATGAAAAGCAATATAAATATGGTCAACAGCAAATAATCCAAATAGTTGAAACTAGGATTACATTTAATTTTTATTTTTTGCAATCCACTGGAATGAGTAATATAATCCCTGACTTGTTAAAGAATAGGCATGAAATTATTTTGAGAATTTGAACCAAGGTTATTCATTAAAGGTAACTGCATGTGAACTATATTTTTTCCAAATATTTTATTTTCATGGACTAATAAAATTGTTTATATCCAGACACAATAACAAAATACAAAACAATGCAAAACTCTCAGTTTCTGGCTTATAGTTTAAAAGAATTTATTAAACCTGGTACAGCAGGATACATTTCTTAAATAAAAATACAAAATATTTCTGGAAGGATTGTCGCCAAAAATGTAATCAACCAGTTTATTTTTCCTCTCAGTCCTCTGATTTTCTTGAAACATGAATGTTTTTAAAACTTAAGCAAATTCTCTTTGCATTCCCCTTTTCCACAAATTTTACCAATCTATCAGCTAGAATCTTGAGCAACTGCTGATACTAATCTAATTTCCTGGGTTTTATTTCATGCTATCCTAAGCTTCTACTACAGTAGAAGTAATTACTTTTTGTTAATTTTTTAACAAAAATACTTGTTAAATATTGGTAACGGTTGGCAATTTTAGTTAAAGGCATTTACTATTAACCATGGTTAAAGTCGACTTTGATAAACTTAATTTTAGATGAAAACTATGCACAAAAAAAACCTTACAATTAGGTTTTCAAGTAAGAAAGTGAGTAATATTCTATGCAGCATAAGATAAACCATAGCTCTTACCTTTCAATTTCCTGGCTTGACAAGAAATATCAGATTCCTTTTTAAAAGGGTATACATATATACATTTTTAGCCTGGCGATTCCATATACAATGAAAATCAATTCAGATTTTAATTATCGTGGAATTTTGACAATTCTAGCAATTGCAAAACTGAATTTTATCTATCAAAAAGTAAATAACATTTTAAGATTTCAAATGTTTAACCTGTTAAAAATGAGAATACATTTGAATCAAGGGCATACTATCTAAAAATAGTATTTCTATCTAGTCATGAGTTTCTCATTACATTTTGCAGCCCCTAAATGTTCAGAATAAATGTAACATTCACATAATACTACAGTCCATGAAAAGAGTATATTCTTTTATTGGATTTTATTCATACATGTTGTTCTCAATAATAAAATTCAATAAATTTAATTCCTTAATCATAAAAACTTGCTGTACACATTATTTACATGTTGCGCCAAAGTCTACAGCCATACAAAACATCACAAGGATTTAACTGACTCTATGCATGGTACCATCACAGGAGGGAGCTAATTAAGTAATATACATTCAAAGATTAAATTATAAGATAGTACAGTGTATTTGGCACTGCTCATTAATATGACATCTTCTCAGAGACAGGCATTCTAAAGCCTTTGTCACAATATACCAGAATTTGCTATTCACATTAAAACCAGCTTTTAAACTTTATAACAGAACCAATTAGTTTTAAGAAGCAAAGCACAACCAGAATTGGGAATGGGATTCGAACTCTCCAACTTCTTGCTATGCTACAAGCTGCCATCCATATAGTAGCTTTAATTTGGTAATTTTTTCCATTGTGGCGAGTGTTGAGAAAAACTGAAAGAAAATAACTTCAATACATATAAAGACAACATTTTTCTTTCCAGCTATCAATTCTTGTAGGGGGAGTGCAAAGGGAGCTCTGAAGATGCAGAACCTGTGATAATTTTGGCAGGAATGATAGAATGACCAATGTTATTCAAATTGTACAGATTGTACAAGAAGTCAAACTCATTTGAGAAGGTCCTGGAATGTCTATATTCAAATTCAGAACCTTTAGCAACATGTTTCAAGTATTTCTTCCTAGACTCAGGTGATGGGCTACAGATTTATTTTGATGTACAAACACTATTATGAAACAGGAGAAAAGTATAAAAACTCAATATTAACTCTTTAGGTACCTGAGCTATATCCCAATGGGTAATCTATTTGACTAATTTCATTTTAACAAACATTACAACCCTTCACTTCAACTGGGACAATTAATTTAATTCATTAAAGCTGAATATACTCCAGAATGATTATAAATAACATATCTATAGTATTTGTAAAAGACAAAAATTGTCTTAAATTAGCCAAAAACAAAAACAGAGACTCTTAATGAAACATGGATCACAGCACAGAGAAACAAATGAAAAAGTCTCCCATAAATTTTAGATATGCTGTAGTCTCACACAAAACTTTTGGCAATAAATTAAGACTTTGAAAAAGGTTGAATAAAGAACTATGAAGTGCAAAGGAATGTCAATGGACCAAAATTTAGTTTAATCATTTTTATTTCAAGTGTATTTTTAAAATCATAAATGGGGTTTTATAATCCAAAGTTGAAACATTTATTCTTCATTACTTTAGAATCTGACAAGCAATTCCAGACCATGCTTTCCAAATTCAGTCTTCTTTGCTGTTTTTCAGACTTCTGAGACCTAGTATTTACACTACTCCATTTTAAAAGTACAATTTTAGATAACTACTGTACACTTGTTGTAAGAGAGTTTTCTGAAAACAGACCATCAAATATAAAGTATGGTTTCTGTCCAAGGATCAGCAGTGAGGGGAAAATATTAAACACCTTTCAAGAAATCATTTATTCATTTAAAAAAACAGAACCAATGAGTTCTCTGTCATAAAAGAGAACATATAAAATTAATCTAAATTATTTTTGTAGACTTTGGTAATATTCTTCCCCACACACAGGTCTCAATCCTACTTAATTTTTTATGCAAAGTCACCACTGGAATTTACTGGAAAAGAAAAAAAAAATCCCAGGTGTTATTTTAAAGATGAATAGGTAACTACTAAGGAAAAGAGCTGCCCTAATAATTTCTCTCAAATGCTCATTTTAAATAAAAATAGTTACTGGAAATATTTTTTAAACCAACTTTCGATAGTATGCAGCATACTCATTACACAAAATAGGAAATCAAAACTTTTCTAGGAAATTTTCCATGTTTACTTTTAAGATTACAACTTATTCAACTTTTTTCCCTTTTGACTGCCTAATTCAACATTTAAATTTTTTAAATTCTGCATTTCAGAGTAGCAAGAGTTCTTTTCAAATGTTCTTCACAACACAGAACACAGACACCAGAGCAACATTCTCAAGTCACATTGTTTAACTACAATGAAGTAAGAAATGAAAGTGGACGGATATCTCAAGATAGATATTCTCTCTCCTCTGAAGAGGAGCAAGCTTTTAACAAGTGAGCAACACAGAACTCCACTCCCCTGCAACTCCCTCAAACTGAGAATACCTTGATTTAATAATATATTATTTTTAAAAATTAAAGTTTGGTCACTAGGAAAGACTGAAAAAAAATTATTCCCTTCTCCCCAAACAACCCAAACAGTTCTAGTCACTCTCTCCCTCTACTCCCCACAAAAACAGGGAAGTAGTAGGGGCCCAAAGCTTTATATCTGAAATCTTGGCTCCTATAACATTGCTATATGCTCAAAGTTGTAGATCTATATATTTCATTATCCAATACTTCCCCCATTTATAAGTTTAATTCCATACACACACACACACACACACACACACACACACACAGCCATACACTCACTCTCAAGTAAGACACTTTTTTGTGTTTGTTGATAAATTATGAGGAATATGAACCAGGTGTGCACAGGGTTTCATAGGTGCTTTGTAAACATCAGAGTCACTTGGGTCCTTTTCTCCAAAAGCCTGAAATCAAATTATGCAACCAGGGATCACTACTTTCCCAGACGCTGTTCACAGGCTGCATATTGACGAAGGGCAGAGAAAAAGTCCTCATAACTGATGTTTAGGTGGGAAGGCAAAGAGCTGTAAAGAAAGCACAAGAGAAAAAAAAAAGGCAATTAGATGATAAACTGTAATTTGGTGGGGGAAACAAAGGATAACAATGAAAATGAGGTTAAGGACAGAAGAAAATAAATTATAAGCAGAATATGTTAAGCCATCTCTACTAAAAGACTGCTAAACTTATTGTAAAACAGAAGAGAAAAGCAACTATATTAAGTTAGCTTCATAAGCCGTTAAAGCAAAACCTAGATTAACATAAAGCTGGAGATCTATGTGTATAAAGATCTCACTCGAATCCACTTGTAGTACTCATCACAGAGTGAAGCCAGTACTATGTGAACAGTTTATAAAGCCAGGCTTAATGTTGAGCAGAGCATCACAATGCCCCACATGATGATATATTAAAGTTATATATGGTGAGTAAACAATAAATGAATATTTAATTTAACTCTACCACTTTCAACTGTTCAAGGAGATACTTATAGTGTGAAAATGAGCATTTTAAAGACAAGAGTAAACATACAATCAGAGGGTTCCCCTTTAATTATTTTAAAATAATTTTCAACAATTAACATGAAAAAAAATCTCTATTTATACAGCTTTAAAATGAGATTTGGAAATGCCAAATGGTAGCAGAATCAAATACACAGTCAGATTCAGAATTTAATGGTTACATGTAACACATACACACAAACACACAGAGTGCACAAACTTTTCAGAGAAGAACTCCTGCCCTGACCTTGTGGTTCCTTTTAGCCATGTTTTTTCCCTCTGACGACAGAAATTCTGAACCAAGTCACCCACTTTCTTCACATTTCCAATCATTTCTTCATAACATCAAATAATATCTCTGGGTAATATCTATTATCAATCTTATATCTTCATCTTCTACTTAAATGATATCCTCAAAAGATACATTTAATGGCATTCTTGCTAAAGCTGGTTTCAACCATCCTCCTCAAACTCCCCACTTTCCAAAGTCTGCCTCAGTTTACACTTCTCATCAACACTCTTTGTCTCCTATTAACTTTTCATGAAGCACTGAGAGTCACTACCCGTCAGTGCTTCAGAAGCTGTCTATGTCCCAGTTTGCTCTATCAGGGATCGAATCTTCTACTTCTCCATCATTAAGGTATCTTCCCTGCCATCATTATGCTCAGTCTGATGGAGAATCGACAGAGAACAAGCCTCAACATAACAAGAGAGAGCCTGTGACAGATGTATGGAAATAATAGGTCCAATGGAAGAGTCTGTTATATTCAAGAATCTGTTCTCCATTATCAGATTTAAATCCCCACCTCTACCTTAAAATGTCCATTTGACAAATTTCATTTTAAGTTAAAACAGAAGTTTTAACTTTCCAAAACCACATTATAAAACTACATAGCCAAAATTCAAACCAAGATCTATCCTATCTGCTTTAAAACATTTTCTTCCCTCCAGACCACTCAACTATCACTACTGCCATTCTTAAAGTCTACCTAAAAGGCACCTGAAATGAATGACTTGGAAAATCCCTGGAGAAAACCAAATAAAACACATGTATGCTCACCCTAGGGACACCCAGTTTGGAGACCTAGGTTCTTATCCACTTTGTTACAAACTTGAAAAATGTCTCTTCCCCATTTTTTTCACCTGTAGAATGAGGAGGTAGGACTAGATGATCTACAGTCCTTACCTACTTTACCACACCACATGAACCCTGTGCCTATTTATTTGATACTTTTTTATTTCCTGCCCCCAAGCTTGCATTTCTGAGGACCTTTGGTACACTTTGGAGAGCTTCTCTGTTCTTATACTCAAAACGACTTCCTAGTTACTGATGATCCCAAATGAAAAGATGTTCATATCTTTAGTCTTGACTTCAGTCACCAAAAAAAATTTACACCTTTTACTACTAAGTGTTTCCACATAAACAGACTATGACTTCAAAATAATCCACATCTTCCTTTCAAAAAGCACTGCTCCCTTTATTTTCTGGTTTCCTCTCAATAACACTCCAATACACATCACCACTTCGGTTTTACCAAGTAGAAACCATTTCCTTTCTTATCTCACATTTACCATAATTAGAAAAGTGCTAGGTCTGTGATCACACTTGGTAAATACTTCTCTTGGCAGAATCTGATCCTTCTAAGATCAGGAATTTAAATACATTTTAATGCTACCAAGTCTCTCCTTTATTCTAAAGCTGGAGTCAGCAATAACAGCCTTGGAGCCAGCACCTGATTTTATTTATAAAAAAATATATATATAAAGATTTTTCAGAGTATAGCCATTCCCAGTTGTTCATGTATGGTCTGTGGTTGTTTAGCTGTACTAGATGAGTTAAGTCATTAGAATAGTGAAGGATAGTTGCAAGAGGCTAACTGACTTGAAAAAGCCTAAAATATTTACTATATGACCCTTTTCAGAAAAAGTTTGACAAACCATGTTCTAAATAAACAATTTCATTTTCTTCACTATATTCTTCTCTTAAATTACAGCTGTGGCCTCTTCACTTGTCCTTATATTCCATCGTTTCCCAAACCCAATTTGCTCTAATATATACCTGCCTAACAAAATCTTCTAAAACCACCATTCCCATATTAGCCACAGGTTGAACTATTTCTAAGTCTCTGTCTACAATTATACATATTCCTTATGTTGGTATTTAAAGCCTTCCAACCTTTGACACCCCTAGACTATTTAATTTAATTTCATATTACTGCCTAATACTCTGTTCTGGTGGGGCCAGTTCTATTTCTTTAAAATGTGCCCCAGATTTTCTTTTGTTTCTATTCCTATCATCTACATGTACCACTTTATTCTAAATACAAAAATTATATCCATTTTATATAACTTGGATAAGTCATGTTTTCTGTAGAATCAACAACTCAGGTCCACAGAGATATTGCTCCCTCCTGATCTCCTACTCAATGTCAATATCAAACATGTATACAACAATATTTTCTCTTAGGTCTAACTTATTTGTTTATCTGGGTATTTACTTAGCCACTGGTACTGTGAAGTACCTGAGGTAAAGAATGTAGTAACATAATTTTTTGGAAATTCCACCAGATATAGTACTGGGCTCAAGAAAACAAGTGCTGGGCTGAATCAAAACAAGTCATTACACTTAATTACTTACACAATCTCAGTCAATCTGATTTGCCAGGGAAGAAAGCCTAATGTGCTGTCCACAGGACCAAACTTCAATACTAAATCAGGATCAGGGTAACCATTTGAACCTTGGAAATAAAGATACACACATGAAATTAACATGCATTGCTTACCAAAACAATGACCAAGGATAAAATCTGCTAAATAAACTGACATATCCATTTTCTTCAGAAGCTTTACCTGTGTTTCTATCTGTATGTTTTCCCCTCACATCACTCTTGAATATAATTTAATATTTATGTTCATCCCAAATGTAGAAATTTTCTCAAAAGTCCATTTAACTGGATTTCTTGATAAGGAAAGTAACCCAATTTTCACCCTAAACCCAATAAGTACCCCACCCTCACCAACACCAACTTCCTCTATCTTTTAAGACTTACTTTAGGTATTCGCTTGGCATCCTGGGAAAGATACTCCTCTTAGGGCAATATTGATCTTGTGGCCCAACTGTTGATTTGGGCCACAAGATCAATGCCTTCAATGTTCCCTAGAGCCTAAGCAACTTCAAAGGGGAAAAAGAGACTACTCCAGCCTCAACAAATACATGAACATTCTTTATCTATATTATGAACTGGTTTTCCTATGAGACCTGTCTTTTCAGGGGGGCAGAGGTAGATAAGGAAGTTTCAACTGCTTCAAAATAAAGTTTAAAAGAGTCACTGGTATAGCAGATAAGATACTATAATCTGAGGGACCCAGGTTCTAACAGTTCCTCATACCCTCAGCTCACTTGCTTGCCACACAGTATCCTAGAGCTTGACCATTTTCAAGCAAGGAGATTGGATTAGGCAGTAATACTGAGGAATTAGGCAGATATTGAGGTATTGTTTCAATGACAAATCCCCTTTAAAGTTCATGGTGGTAGAGCAAATAGACTAAGCAGAACTCCTCGACCATCTAAAAAGCAATCCTCTTTAGTTAAAAAAAAAAAAAAAGAAAGAAAGAAAAGAAATGTCAAATAATACTCCTGAAGAGGATTCCAAATCCTCTCCATAAAAAATAAGTATTAAATTAGACAAAACCTGTCCTTCAAAAGCATTGGATACTGGCTAAAGGGGGAAAAAAAAATCATTCTTTAAAAAAAAGTGTGTGTGTGTGTGCGTGTGTGTGTGTGTGTGTATATGTGTTTCTTAAAACCAGCTAGGAAATCAGCTAGAACTCCAGGTAAGAATGGCAGAAGTCTATGGCCTTCTTACCTGGGATTGCTCCCAATCCCCCACAACTCTATACCCAATCAATTGCAGAGAACTATAACTTTTCTAGCACAGGGCTGATGGCAAAAATCAGTAGATTTGCTTCTTATAGCGAAAAAAAAGGACTCAATTCAGAACTGAAAGTTGTAGCCAGGAGGAAGAGAATGGTGATAATCCATATCTGGAGACTCAAAGGGGAAGGAATAAGGAAGTTCATATCTATTGGCCTGAGGCTGAAGACTCCTTGGCCAAAAATTTAACAGGAAGATCCTGGAAATAAGATCTCAGATAAAATCTCATACTTCTACAGCTGACCGGAAAACTATTTACACAGGAGAGAGTCAGGGAGAGAGGGCAGGGCAGGAAGTGAAAAGTAAAGGTGAAAGAGACTTAAAAATGTTCTCAATTTTTTTCCAATTCCACACAGAAATCACCTAAGCCTTACAAACTTAAGGTGTCTGAGCATCTGTATGCAAATCACTGAATGACCACTCAACTATGCAGACACAGGAAGCCAGACCAAAAAAACCACAAGCAAATTTAAAAAACACATGCACACACAAACACAAAACAACAACAGAACCAAACAAAGATGGTCGTTGTCATCTTAATGGACAATATAATCTTATATTTAGAAAATTCCAAGTCTCTACAGAAAGAACTGCTATCAAGATTAAGAAAATTTTAGCAAGACTGTCAGATATAAAATAAGTATTTTTAAAAACCTTCTATTTACAAGTATTATCAATAATCTGAAAATAAAGTTAAGAAAATAATTCCATTAACAATGGCATCAAAAGGAATAAAATACTTAGGAATAAATTTAACAAAAGAAATTGAGTGGCTGGGGTTGTTGCTCAGTGGTTGAGCCTCGCCTAGTATGTAGTGAAGCACTGGGTTCGATTCTCAGCACCACATAAAAATAAATAAATAAAAATTTAAAAATTAAAAAGAAGTTGAAATCCTAAAGCCTGAAATTATACAGTTCTGAGAGAAAAATTAGGACCCAAATAGAGAGAGAAACTATGTTTATGGATTGGAAGACTCAATATCTTTAAGACAACAATTTTCCTCAAATTGAGGGACAGATTCAACTTAACCCCAAATCCCAGCAGTCTTTTTTCTTTCTTTCTTTCTTTGAAATTGAAAAATTGACCTTAAAATTTACATTTAAATGCAAAGGACCCAAAATAGCCAAAAAACAATTAAATAACTAGGACTTTTAACCTCATACTGTTAACACAGGTTAAGACAAAATGGATTATAGACCTAAATATAATCACAAAATCTCTAAAACATCTAGAAGAAAACACAAGAAAAAAAATTGTGACTTTGGGTAAGGCAAAGATCTCTTAAATATGATACCAAATACACAATCCATAAAAAAAAAAAAACCTGGTAAACTGGAGTTTATAAAAATTAAAAACTTAAACAGTTAAGAAAATGAAAAAGTAAGCCATGGACTAGGAGAAAGTATTTGTAAGTGTACCTATCTTATCACTGATAAAAGACATGTACCCAGAATATATAGACTCTTAAAACTCAATAATAACACAAACAACCTGTTAAAAATAGGCAAAACATTGGAACAGACATTTCACCAAAGAAGATAAAGATGACAAATTAACACATGAAAAATGTTCAACATCATTAGTCATTATGAAGATGTGAATTAAAACCAGACAGAATACTATTATACACACACTAGACTGGCCAAAATACATTTAAGATGTTTTTAGCAAAGATTTGGAGAGATTAGAACCTTCTACCTTGCTGGTAGGGATGTAAAACATATAGTCTATTTGGAAAGCAGTTTGACAGTTTCCTAAAAAAATTAAACATGGCTGGGGATGTGGCTCAAGCGGTAGCGTACTCGCCTGGCATACGCAGGGCGCTGGGTTCGATCCTCAACACCACATAAAAATAAAATAAAGATATTAAAAAAAAAAGAGAGACAGAAATACCTTTTAAAAAAAAATTCACTCACCACATACAGCAATTCCACTGTTACGTATCTACTCAAGAGAGAAGAAAACATGTCCACACAAAGACATGTATGTCAATAGTCACCTGATTATTAAAAAACTGAAAATAAGCAAATATACATAAACTAATGAATGGATAAACAAATGTGGTATTATCCATAAAATAGAATACTATTCAACAATAAAAAGTAATGAGCTATTAATGCAAGCAACATGGATGAACCTCAAAAATATTAGGCCGAGTACGTAAGAGATAAAGACTATACATTATATGATAACTTTTCTATAACAGTTCTAGAAAACACAATGCTATGTCAGAAAGCAAACCAGTGGTTACCTGGTTTGGGAGGTAGAAGTAGAAACTGAATATAGTTACAAGGGAACTTTTGGGAACGACAGTATTCAGAGTATTTGTTTCTGTCATATTAATTAGGTTAAGGACAGCATACATACTCTTTTGTTATAAGTTTACAATACCTGAAGGCAACACCTGGGTTCAACACGTTAGCACTTTCCCACAGGCAACCAACCTAAAGACCATCTATTTGGCCAAGGACAACTTTAAGGATGTACTCATAAATTACTGCCTCCTTGGAAACAGTCAATATCCCAGTAATCTCTAGCCATAGTGCCTCTACAATGGTCCACTTCTCAGTGAGCCCAACTATAGTTACACAATCACAAACGAATAAAGGCAACAAGTGAAAGTCAAAGTAGGAAGTTAGAGCAAGAGAACAGAGGGGGACTGTACTCAATGATGGCCATGTCAAAGTAGAAGAAACAAAGAATGAGGAGTTACTGAGTTAGAAAATGGATACTTAGTAAGGTAAACGGACACTAAATGTGAATAAATAAAAAATAAAAGCCCTGATACCATATGGCTATAGAACCTATGAATGGACATGTACTTGTTAGAAAGATTGCCTTTCTAGTTAGAAGGATCAGGATGTTAAAGCAAAAAGTTCTTAGAGTAGCTCAATAGGGAATAAGCAAGCAAAAAAAAACCAAAGGCATTTACACATTGTGGAAAGACATAGAGTTATACTTTGGTATAATACGAAAAACATAGTGGTTTATTTGGTACAGAAAAAATACTTTAAAAAAAGTAATCATGGATGATGGTAAGATTATATTCTTGGGATTACCTTGTAAAAAGTTATTAAGTTCAAACTAAAAAAAAGCGGGTGGGGGGGGAGGTCAGGAAGCTGAGGCAGGAGGATGGCAAGTTCAGAGCCAGCCTCAGCAACCTAGCAAGGTCCTAAGCAACTTAGCAAGACACTAATCAAAATAAAAAACAAAATGGGCTAGGGATGTGGCTCAGTGGTTAAGCACTCCTAGGTTCAATCCCCCATGCCAAAAAGAAAATTAAAAGAAAGAAAGAAAAGAAAGGGGGAAAAGTAAATAGAAGTCCTATTTCTCAGAATATTCATTAGTATTAAAAAAACTCAAAAGTCCTTTTCTTTATCAAAAAGTTCTCATGTATGTGAGCTGACTACAAATTTTGTTCTTTCAAAACCATTTCACATGTCTGTCCTTTAAATTTAATAGAGTATAAAAACAAATATCAGGCTATATACTATGAAAGGAACCTAAATACTTCCTTTCATAATATACACTTGTGGTACAAAATTACTTACTAAGTAAACTGTCTAACGTATCTACATCCAAATCTGTAGATCTCTTTTGCTGCTGGGCTACTAACTGGCAAAAGTCCTGAGCAGCTCTCACAATATCTGCTTTTCCATCTTCTGGGGACAGCACCTTCACTGCCAAATGGCAATTTAAAACTGGAGGAAAAAACAAATAAGACATTTTAAAAACACACTCTTCCAGATTTATTTCAAAATCAGTTTTATGAATAGTAAGTTCAGAACAAAATAGAGTTCTTATAGTAAGAATCATTAATGCCCTAAAATTTCAATATTAAAACATACTTGGCTGTTCTCTGAAAAGATCAAGCACTCAAAATAATGTCTATGTATATATTTATTATACTGTCTTATCTTCCAAGTGCTTAGAATGACTTTGTACTGTGCATAAATTTTCTATAAAATAGGAATTTTACTCATAATCATATATAATCATATATATGTCATAGTATATGACATATATATGATTATATAATAATCATAGTAGTAATATAATCATAATATATATATTATGCATATATATATTCATATATATAATCATAGTAGTAATAACAAAATAGAAGAGTGAAAATTGTAGGAAAAAACTGTGTTTCAGTGAACTATGTGTGCATTATCAATAGCACACACCTTATCTGATTCCCTAAGAGCTGCTTTTCAACTGACAGAATTCTGTTAACTGATAACAATATAAAATCTTTTATCTATAGAAATGCAAAGTTTTTCTAGTCTGATATAGTTTCCATGGTCTTTCCTCCCACCCCAAGAAAAGCCAGTTTTCCTGTGTTTACATATTCATTTATTGATCTAAAAACACTCTTTGGATTGTCTATTGAATAATATGTCTGATTCACCAATATCTCTAGCACATGTTCACTTTTTAGTATCTATAAACTGTTTTTATCTTTTATTGAAAATCATTTTTTAAAAATACAAAGAGGGAAAGTCTCAATCTGATGATTAAAGATGCCAACAATAAAGACTAACAGAGCAAAAACCAATGAAAAATGAATGTCAGATTTTGCTTTGAAACATAAACATAAATCTTCAAGTGTTACATATTCAATTTTACACTCATGCTTACCTTGATCATCTTTATCATTACTATTTGCAAACCCCGGTGAGTATTTGGAACAATCTAGGCCCAGAAGTTCCTGCTGTTGTTTTAAAATTTCATCCATCAATCTGGAATTATTTCTTTTGAAAATACCTTAAAGAAAAAAAGAAAAAGCATGCAAATCATAACTAGGTTCATTTATCTTCTTCAGTGATTAATGGGTGATTGTCAAAAGAATACTAAATCCAGAACTGAACAAATCTGAAATAAAACAAAAAGAATTAACCCTAAATCAGAATATATAAGGAAAACATGATGAGATTTGTTAATATAAAAGTCTGGCTTCAGTCTTAAGTCAGGGAAAAAAAAAAAAAAAAGCTATGTAAACAGAACAGAAATTTAGACCTTGAAAGGAATTTTAAAAGCTCATTTATTTGAAACATTTACAGATTAAAAAAAAGCAATGTCCTTAAAAAGCTTGTCCAAGAATTTATTTATTCCTGATTTCCAACCTTCCATTATTTTCTCTGCACATTTACTATGTATATTAAATACTACTAGCTCCATTTCAATTTGATTTTTTAACCTTAAGAGGAACTTACATGAATTATGTAAAAAGTACAGAATAGACAAAAGTAATAAAATCAAAATTTAATAAACTCGAAAAAAGCACAGAAATAAACTATATAAAACAGTTTTTGTTCCTCCAACTACACACAAAAAAATTTACCATCAGGTCACTGAGGAAGACAAAGGAACAATGGACATACATTTAATGTACATGTAATATACAGCTCTACCTCAAAATATAAGTTTCTGATTATTTTTGAAGAGGCAGTTTTCTAGTTAACACTGCTTTTTTGATCTAAGTGGTCTACTTTATATACTCTCAGGCCTGATGGTAGTTAATAGTAATGGTAAGTAGTTAAAGTAGCAGTAAAGATTAGCTGGGAGACAGAAACGAGAACTGTGTGTGTGTGTGTGTGTGTGTGTGTGTGTGTGTGTGTGTGTCTGTCTCTCTCTCTCTCTCTCCCCTCTCTCTATGGGTGGAGAGACAGACAGGTAGAAGAATCTGCTGCACACTTCAAAGTGGTAGTATATGTGTGGCAGTAGTTATAAAAGCAGTCTCTTTGGGTGGAATAAGGCTTTATAAAAGAAACAAGCCTTGGGCCAGCTGAACTCAAGAAAGGTAAAGAGGAAAAAAATGGAGAGGACATTAGAAGAGGCAAATCTTTTTTTTTTATTCTTTTTTATTTATATGACAGTGGAATGTATTACAACTCTTATTACACATATAAAGCACAATTTTTCATATCTCTGGTTGTATCACAGAATATTCACACCAATTCGTGTCTTCATAACTTACTTTGGATAATAATGATCATCGCATTCCACCATCATAGAAGGGGAAAATCTTTAAGAAAAAGCACTGTTTGGAAAGTTCAAAAGACAAATGCTGCTGATGCAAAGGGTAAGAGAGAAGGGCAAGAGGATAGTTCTAATTTATACTCCATATTGCCTACCAGACAGGTAACAGATAATTTGTGAGCAATGTGGAAATGTGTAGAAATTTATACCTTTAAGGAAATTTTCCTAGCATTAATCATAGGCAGGCAGCAGACTACTACAGGTTGAGGCAATGGAAAGAAGGACTCACCACAAAGAACTGAGAGGACATAGTACATGGCTTACAGGGGAACGTACAACATTCCAAGTCTTTTATCCTAGGTTGCAGAAAATTGTAATATTTTTTAAAAATGAGCAAATTCTACAAAAAAAAAAAACTGGGTAAAAGGAAAAAAATTCAGTTTTAGATAGTAAAAAACAGAATATTTAGGTGGTGTTAACAATAAAAGTAATGAGACAGAAGTACTTTACCTGTATATACAAGAACTATACAGGTAAAGGATCCTATCTGTTTTTCTCCTGAGGCCTAACACAGTGCCTGGGGCACAGAGCAAAAACTCAACAAATAAATGTCTTCTTAAAGAAGAGAGGTCATCTTCAATCTTGGCACAATCCAACTTCAGTATCTTCAATGGCTCCTAAAGTGACTAGTGTATTAATAACAAACAGCTCAGCTCAACCACAGCATTCCAGCCTGTGTATCGACAATTGGTGGAGGCAAATAATTCATGTTTATGAAACAAACATCAAAATATTTCTTTGAGTACTGTATCCCAGCAAGCAAGAACTGCCTTATGTTTCTCAAAAAATAGATGGAGTGACTCTAACCCCTATCCTTTAACTTCCCGAATGGCATACCTGTAAAATTCTGTTTCTTCACACGCCTGCTGAAATGTCACTTCCCTTAAGAGCCCGTCCAAATACCCTATTCAGATGTGTCCCATTTTATTCCATCCTCCACATTTTATTCAAACCCCTTGAAAACAAATACTATTATTTTTAAAACAGCAATATCTTAACCAACCACACCATCAACAGGAACTAACTATATTCTTACTTGTAAACTTGTGTTCCTCTCATCTATTCCTTTAAGGGAACTTCCATTTAACAGAAGTTCAATATTTACTTTATAAATGGAATTATCAATGCATAAGATGCCATCAAAAGGGACATGCCATTGAATGGAAAAATTTTTTTTTTGTTTCCAGGAACCTCTCACAATAAAAGCAGACACTTCCTTATTGCACACAGGCAGGAACTCTGTTAAAAAGAATATAACAGACACAGTTACAAAATATTTTTTATAAAGAAGATTTTCATAAGGTTATTTTAAACAGAACTTTTGTCTTGGTGATCCAGATGAAGAGATGAAACTAAAAAGTATAGTTTCAGGCCTGAAGGTAGAGCTCAGTAGTAAAGTGCTTGCCTCCTACACTTGAGTACTGGTTTTGATCCCCAACACCACAAAATAGTTAAATAAATGTAGTTTCTGCTATGTTCTTAGATGAAATAGATTATGAGAAAGATGATTCCCAATATTTCGTAGCTTGACTCCCATCAAGAAATCTGATTACTCTATGGTAGTTATTTTACCCACAAATAATAATATCAACTTACAGTTTTCTTTAGGATTCAAAGGCAATACACACATATGCATACCTCACAAGATATACACGAACTGTAAAAAGATATAAGGGAGGCTTTGATTGAAATAAGAAATTTCTATAGCGATAACATAGTATATGTAGATTCTTTTTCTCATATAATTCATTCTGTTTGCCTTCCAGAATTTAAAGTCAAAATAATGGCATAAACGTAAACAAATTATCACAAAAGTAATTTTATACAAACAGAAGTTAAGATCATACTCATTCAAAAATAAGTGATTTAAGGAAAAAGCATTTAAACATTCTCAAGTTTTTGAGAAAACTATTATTTTACAGAATTATATAGTATTGAGTTTCAAGAATAATATTATTGTATCCTTTACAGATGAAGAATAGATGCAGAATGGTCAAGCAATTGTCCTGAAGTGTCTTAAGAATTTGTCCTGACTTAAATTACTATTCAGTTCAGTAACTATTTTTAACTCTGACAAATGAACAATACTATTAAACAATTCTACTAAATTTTAATTTCCTCTCTTTAAGAAATCAAATACTGTCAAGTAAAAATGATCCTTTTTAGAAATAATTAATATTTTTTGAAAAAAGTAGAATTACAGCTCTATTCCCCACCCCCCAACAGCTCTTTCATAAAAGGCTTTTGAGGTTTTACAGGGTAAACAAAATATGTATTTTGAATTCTTTAAGAGTGATCCGGGAATCTAAAATAAGTCTTTGCAATAATGCTGTAAGGAATTTCACATTATGTTCACATATGGCAACTATATCATCTCATATTCTGCAACTATATCTCATGAAGACTCAATTTCCAAAAAATAAACAATATAAAATATATATAGAAAAGGCACATGAAAGTCATTTTTGAAAACAAAATGCAAAAAAAATCTCCAATTTCCATAAAAGAGGGAAATATTATGCTAGGAAAGCTACACCCCATTAAGACTATAATGTTTTTGGTATTTTCTGAGAAACATTAGCTATGCGCTTTAAGAACCAAATGTAGGCTTCTAATAGTCAAAGAAACATCTGTTTTAAATTCTAGTATTAAAAACTATAAAAAGAAAGTTTAGACAATAGGAGAACTGCACAATTTCAATAGTTTGAAGTGTCCCTAACTTTCCATCATAAGACAACTATTCACTTTTTTAATATTCACTAATTCTTGTCCACATGCACAAGGTATACATGATGTACCTGGTATACATGATTATGCAACTTTGTAACCTGTTCTTTTCACTTCTATAACATATATACTTTCTTGGTGACAGACTCATGTTTATTTTTAACACTGCATTATTTAAAAAAAAAAAAAAAGGACTTTGCTGATATTGCTCAATTCTTAAAATACAGTAATCAGTACTTCAAGGGCCAGGGGTACAGCTTAGCGGTAGAATACTCCCTAGCATGTGTGAAGCACTAGCTTTGATCCCCAGCACCAAAATAAAACAGTACTTCACCAACTGATTACTATTATAGAAATAATTGAATATTCTCACAGAATTCAGAATTTATGGTATTTAAGGAAAAGAAATATACCATTATGAGCAATACATAAATACAGAGGTATATAATACGAGACAACAGATATTAAGTGGTTATAACATTAAGGCACATGTGGGCCTGGGTAATTAATTTATAAGCATTCTAAGTACAACGTGAAGCTATTGCAGTGATCTATTTAAAGTTTGAGTGATGTTATCAAAAACAGATTAACTTTGCTAGTGGATGAAGAATGGATTATACAGGGGCCAGAGTATAAATGAAGAGCAAGGGCCTACTGAAGGAATACAAGTGAAAGATGATTGCAACCTAAACTTAAGACTTAACTGCAAAGGAGAACAAAACAAGTGGTAGATTTGGCATATACTCTAGAAGGATGGCCAAGGTGGCCTATTTATTGATAGATTACAAGTAGAACATGAAGTCAGAGAACTCACACAATATGAGGCTTTTAGCCTGAGAAACTGAATGGAAGTAGTATTTTGTGGGATGAGGAAAATATGAGGGGGGAGGTCTGGGACAACATTTAAGAGTATTGTTTTAAATAGGTTAGGTAGTTGAGAAGCCTAATAAAATAAAAGTGATTTTACAAAGAAGTTGGATATAGAAATTAGGAACTGT